AGAAAACAAAGGCGGTGGCTGAAGGTGAAACAGAGTTGGCTTGGACAGACAGCGGATCTCTCAGGCATAGTGCATGCAACCCTCATCCGTCTTCACATACGCCTTTGTCGAATGGATTTAATTGTTTCATTAGTGTTATAATTATCATAGTTATAAATTAATCTTATTGTAATTAGTATTGTTATAGCCATTGTTTAGTTAATTGGTATAGATTGTTGTAATAAAGTAGTTAATTAGCTTAGTTAAGTTAATTATTATTCATTCGCCCAGTTTTGTAATAGTTAGTTAATTTAGACTTTCGGACATTGATTCGCACCTTCCTGCGTGAGGGATCAAATGTTGTAATAATGTGTATGTCTTCCAACCCCACGTCTTTCTCCCTTTTATTTATTCGCTTACAATGGTTAGTATAGAGCATCACGTTTCTTTAGCATACTTCATGTTTTGCATCCATTCGTCTTGCATACATTTAGGTTCAGCTCACCATACTAACCAAATATTTAAATTCATTGCTTGAATACGTGCCTTGTCGCATGTCTTGAATGAAATCATATGCCATGTTCATAGCTGAGCCTATAAAATACATAATGTGTGTGTTGCATTAGCCATAATTGCATGATTAGGAACATGCATATTTTGCTAACTCTTTCACCTTTTTGGCTTGGAGTACTAGGTGAGCTTTTACGTCTTAACATCTTGCATCAAGTGTTTGTGTTGCCATATCTACCATGCTTGCCATGAGGCTAAGTGCTTATATGATATAATTGTTTGAATAGATGAAGGCTAATTGCCTGAATTGGAGTAGTTTGATTAATGTTCCATTTTAAGCCCACATTTTCAAGTGGCAAATTCACAAAACAATTTCAAAACAAAACATTAGATCAAATGTTCCAATTCTTGCAAATTAATCTATATTTGTGTGTGCGTCACATAGTAATGTTAGGCTAATAATCGGAACAAGAGCATATAATATAAATAAGAAATACATCATGATTAGTAGAGGGAGATCTTTGATCGGGCGAGTGGGGTGCTCAATTCATGACCTTCCGCTCTCGTACCTAAGTTCCTGAGCCAAGACACTTTGGTGATGACGGACTAATGGCCTTTGGCATGAGTCTCGGGTTTCTTAAATTTTCTAAAAATATTTAGGTGGCGACTCTGTAATCTGGCAAAACAGTCTATTTTTGATATTTGATTCAAACATCGATTTTCCAAAAAGAATTGCCAGATTTGGACTCTTTTGAGTTTTCACTATTTCACATTGCACTTTGTGAAATCAGATTCAGAACCACAAGTGGAGTCTGAACTGTAGGGCTATTTTCCTTCCGAAAGGAGTGCGAAAAGTCGAGCTACAATTTCTGGCAACTCTGCTGGGGACTTAGAGAACTTGACTTAAAACTTATGATGTGGCTTTTTATTTACACTTATATGTTTCTTTGCATTTGCATTTGTATTGGTGAGCTTAAAGTCACTGTGTTTGTAAACTGCTATTCATAGACGGTTTGTCGGAGGCTCGCCCAAAAGACTTGCCAAAAAGCTGACCGGTCATGGGCTCTGCCATATTGGGAACACAACCCTTGGATCTGAACTACCGATGTACCATTTGATCCTCCTTTCACTTTTCGATGTTAGGTGTGAGAGGTATATTAGGTAATCTTGCGAAGGGACCCTTTTAACTGTTCGACCTAGTTACATATAGTGAAACTATAGTAACTATTCCAAATTAGGATAGGATGCCACCCATTTGTAGGATGTCGTGAAACTTATTGTTTGAAATAGTGCGGCCTAGATCATACCAAAAATCTAGGACAGGGCAACCTTACCCCCTCATAGGGGTGTTTTGGTTCTTTTATATGTGCTTTTACAGTGAGACTGTACAGGATGGTTTATATCAGTAAGGTTTGAAAACAGAGTTCAGTGGAGATTACAGTTCAGCTATGTGTCTTGACTGTTGTGAATTAGGGCCAAAGTGCTATCCGATTTTGATTTTGTTTTTCTTTCTTTCTTTTTGCCAGGTAGTTTACCATCATAGCTTCAGAAAGAAACGATATTCCCCAAGTTGTGTGGACTCGTTTTGGCAGGCTGTGCAAAGCTCGAGACCTTATTGGTGGTCAGCCCGTGCTAGTCTCGTTTCCTCCAGTCACTCGACGGAGAAAGAATAGGCAATCAGTAGCTTCAGCACAAAGCACCCCACAAATACCTACCCGTTCTCAGTTAATCAATTCACCAGCATCTAGTTCACCCGGATTAGCAATGGCACAGAACACAGCACCAAATGCAAAGGAATTCGCTGCCATGATGATCGCTGTCCAAAGAACTATGGATACTGTAAACCAAAGGATGGCTGCACAAGATGATGTCATTGTCAATTTGCGGCGTACATCTGGGGCATCAGCATTGTAGCACCCGCCTTTTCCTTAGTTGTTACTTTTATGATTAATTTGAATTATGTATTTATTCGTGCCTTATATGTCTATTTTTATGCACTATGTCTGTTAACAGATATGTTCCTTTATGAAAAGACCTGTCTGATTCGTTAAATCGTATGAGTTATAAAATTAGTTAATGGACTAAGTGAGTGGGATTGATTCACCTTAAATTAAGATAGCAGGTAGTGTAATTAATTAAATAATTTAACTAAAGCAACTCTCATTTAGTTAATCTAAGTTAGAGAATTGGGATATTATATATATATTGAACTCAAATGGGAAGGAGAGAGAGATATTACTTGTGAAAGAGAGTGTGAGTGCTAGAACTTAAGAGAATGCTAGAGAAGAAGAGGAAAAAAGAGGAAGAGAAGAGAACTCGAAACAACTACACTAAATCAAGTCATCAAGGTAAGAATTCTTCCTAGTTATGTGCATGTGACTTCCTAATTCATGGAATTTAAGGAATGAGGAATTGGGTAGAGTAGGTTGTGATATAAACCCTAATAGGAGGAACTCCCTACATCTTAGCATGAATAACTTAATTTAAGCTTGATTACTTGGTCTTGCATGCTTTTAACGTAGATTTCCATAATTTTGTTGAAATATAGGATTATTATATGCAAAGGATTTTGTTTTCTTTAACCATGAAGTTGTGTATGAGTTTGGGGGAACTTGAGTTGGAATTTGACGATCCATGACCTTGGAAATTGTTTGAACACCATGTTTGCTAATTTTTGACCTTTAATTTGATTGACTTTAAGATTGATTTGAGGAATTTGGAACCCCAAAAGCAGAGCAAAAATTCGGTTCTAGAACACCTAGAATCGCACGTGCGGCTAGGAAGCCCGCACGTGCGGAAATCAGGGGAGAGGAAGATGTAATTTTGAAATAAAAGCACTTGGAGGTGCACGTGCGGAGGGAGTCCCGCACGTGCGGCCAAGGGGCTCCGCACGTGCGGCTATTTGATAGACTCGGTTCCACTTCTCTAATTTGTTTACCCCGCTACCGGGCCTCTGTTAATATGTTTTGCAACCGTAATTGCCATCCATTTGTATTGCATAAGTATTAGTGAAGTGAAAAGCATTTAGATTAATCAATTCCAAAGCTAATGGAACTAATAAGTTGATTGTATGACAAATAAGTATTCTATGCTTATGTCTGTCTATGCAGGTCATATGCCACGTTCCAGTCACCTGCACCACGGAACCGACTGTGAGTAACATTGTTGTAAACATAAGAGTAATTAAATTACCTTTTCTCTACTTCAAGGTTGTGTATTGCTCTGATAAGTTTCTTACATTGATAAATGATGATTCTATCTCTGTTTGCGTTGTTTACTGTGGCAACCCTAGCATTTGTTCATATGATTACAAAGCAACTCTGTTTTATAGTGTTGGTTATCATATCTGATCTTCGGTTTTCATGACCGCTTGTTTGGTCTTCATGACCGTTTGTTCGGTCTTGTAGACCGTCTGTATTTATGACTCTTGGACATACTACGTGTTATATTATGCTTCTCTTATGTAATTCCAATATGCTCAGTATGTACTTTATTTTACATCATAATGATCGTTTAAAATCTCTTTACTCAGCTATTATTCACTGGGCTTTAGCTCATATTTTGGTATATCATGTAGGTAACCTAGCTCGGGAAGGGACGCAGTGGTGTCGGTGTTGCTTTGATTTTGTCAAGCTAACTTCTGTGCCTCACTGCGAGATTCCCATCTATCCGAGTTATGAGGTGGCCAGTGTGCACCATTTTGTAGTTCGCACGTGTATTTTGATCGGTTATCACTGACATTACTTTTGTTGTCGATGGGAATGACTTTTCTCTTTTATTGTCCTTTGGAAAACTTGTGAATGTGCAATGTACTTATGCGTGTGTATATATATAATCATAGTAACAGCTTTTGTCTCATGTAAATTCATAGCTCATTGGACGTTTTATCTTCTTGTGTAATAGCTTCCGCTAGCGCCGTGTATTTTCTTAGTTCAGTCAGGCCTTCGTTAATCGCGGATTACTGGCCGATCACGACACTAAACCTATAGGGGCGAGCCTGAGTCGTGATAGAGTGGTATTAGAGCACGAGTTGTACCGCACACACGCGTCCAAATGAGCTATAAGATGTCCTAGAAGAGGAAGTAGGGCATATTAGCTGCATGTGTGTAAGTGTGTGTGGTTTATCTGATGTGCCTATGTGGTAATAATGCATGTATAAACCTTATGTGTTCTATGTTTATTATCACTTTTTTTATATATAGCCAATGGAAGAAAGAAGACCTGCAGAGACATCTGAAACTTCTGACGCAAGAATGGATTGGTTAGAGTGAATGGTGGAGTTATTGACGGAAGCACTAAGACAACAATCGAGACAACCTTTTGTACCACCTCCTCCGCCACCAGTTCTAATGGAGCCATTCAACACTGATGTGCCTATGTGGTAATAATGCATGTATAAACCTTATGTGTTCTATGTTTATTATCACTTTTTTTATATATAGCCAATGGAAGAAAGAAGACCTGCAGAGACATCTGAAACTTCTGACGCAAGAATGGATTGGTTAGAGTGAATGGTGGAGTTATTGATGGAAGCACTAAGACAACAATCGAGACAACCCTTTGCACCACCTCCTCCGCCACCAGTTCTAATGGAGCCACTCAACAACGGTGACATTATTACCCTGATACAAAAGTTTAATAAGTTGAAGCCGCCTACCTTTCCGGGGGGCCTTGAATCGCTCAAAGTTGAAGCTTGGATTCTAGAGATTGAAAAGTTATTCGAAGTGTTTCCGTGTACTGAAGAACAGAAGGTTCTGTTAGCAACTTTTACCTTGCAAGAAGAAGTAAGAAGATGGTGGATGCTTGCTCGGAATCAACAAACTGCTATGACTTGGGCACAGTTTAAAGAAGCTTTTATGAAAAATATTTTCCACAGTGTGTGAGAGACCACAAAGTGACAGAATTTGAGCACTTAAAGCAGGGTACCATGACAGTAGTGGAGTATGAAGCTAAATTTACAGAGCTTGCACGCTACGAGCCACACATGGTAGACACTGAATATAAGAAAGCCAGGAAGTTTGAAGGCGGTTTGGATGTTGAGGTTCTTGACTGAGTTAATGTACTCAAATTGGAAAAGTATGTTGATGTTCTGGATAGATCCATTAAAGCTGAGGTGAATGTTGCCGCACTAAGACAAGCGAAAGCACCGGTGATTGAACGGAAGGGTAAAAGGCCGGGATCTAATTTCAAGAAGGGTCGGAATAACTTCAACACTCCACCGAACAAAAGACAGAATACAGGATCATCTACTAGTTCAAGCCAAGGGACTGATACATCCATTTGCCTAGAATGTGGAAAGAGACATAAGGAAGATTGTCGCAGAATTTCTGGTGCATGCTTTCATTGTGGAAAAATAGGCCATATGATTAAGGATTGTCTTTTAGTGTCTCAAAGCACAAGCCAGTCTAGAGTTAACTCAACTATATTAGTGTCAGCACTGAGGGTAAATTCGAAAGCAGCTACGGAGAAAGAAACTCTAAAGCAAGGACAGGTTTTTGCATTGGTATTGGGTGATGTGCAGACTACAGAGACGGTTGTGTCAGGTATTCTTCCTGTCTGTTCTCAGAATGCACATGTATTAATTGATTCGGGGTCTACACATTCTTTCGTGTCGTAGGCTTTTGTTCCAAAACTACTTAGACCCTTCGAACCAATGGACTATGTGTTAGTTGTAACCTCTCCGGCGGGAGGAACTATGATTTGTGCATCTATATATCCTGCGTGTGTGATTCTTGTTGGAGACATAAATTTGTATGTGGATTTGTTACCTCTAGACATTGCATATTTTGATGTTATTTTGGGAATGGATTGGCTAGCAAAATATTATGCTACAATTGATTGCTCAACCAAACAAGTTGTGTTTCATTTATCTGGAGGGCCTGAATTTATATTTAACGGGAATAGTGTTATATCTCCCCCATATTTGATTTCCTCTATGAAAGCGAATAAATTGATTAATAAGGGGTGTAAGGGATTTCTATGCTTGGTACTAATAGTGCCAACTACTACTAAACCAGATGTAAGTAGTATGCTTGTGGTGAAAGAATTTCCAGATGTGTTTCCAGATGATCTGCCCGGGAACTTGATTGATAGAGAAATTGAGTTCACTATTGAGATAGTGCCAAGTACCCAACCGCTTTCTAAGACCCCATACCGGATGTCAACTACCGAGTTAAAAGAGTTGAAGACTTAGTTACAAGAATTATTGACTAAGAAATTTATCAAGCTTAGAACATCTCTGTGGGGTGCTCCAGTGTTGTTTGTCAAGAAGAATGATGGAACTCTAAGGCTTTGTATTGACTACCGGGAATTAAATAGGGTGACAATTAAAAATAAGTATCCGTTACCACGTATTAATGATCTATTTGATCAGCTACAAGGGGCACAAGTGTTTTCTAAAATTAACCTACGGTCTGGATATCATTAACTAAAAGTTAAGGCTGAAGATATGGAAAAGACTGCTTTCCGAACAAGATATGGTCATTATGAATTCCTCATTATGCCTTTTGGAGTTACTAATGCACCAGCTGCTTTTTATGGACCTAATGAATAGAGCTTTTAAGCCATTCCTTGATGAGTTCATTGTGGTCTTTATCGATGACATTCTGATCTACTCTAAAAGTAAGGAGGAACATGAACACCACTTGAGACTTACTCTTCAAACGTTGAGGGAGAAGAAATTGTATTCAAAATTGCCGAAATACAAATTTTGGTTGGATAGTGTAACATTTCTTGGGCATGTAACAACAAAAGAAGGTATTTCTATTGATCCACAAAAGATAGAGGCTGTTGTAAACTGGCCAAGACCAATGAATATGACAGAAGTTCGCAGTTTCTTAGGCCTGGCTGGATATTATCGCAGATTTGTGAAGGATTTTTCAAAGATTTCTTTGCCACTTACTCAATTGACACAAAAGGGGTACCATTCGTGTGGACTGCTCAGAGGGAGACAGCTTTTCAAGAATTAAAGACAAGACTTGTGACAGCACCAATTCTCATTTTACCCTCTGGCATGAATGGCTTTACCATTTACAGTGATGCTTCTTATAAAGGTTTGGGGTGTGTGTTGATGCAAAACGGAAAGGTGACTGCCTATGTGTCCTGTCAGTTGAGACCGCATGAAAAGAGTTACCCGACTCATGATCTGGAGTTGGCTGCAATGATTTTAGCATTGAAGATTTGGCACCACTATCTGTATGGGGCTATGTGTGAGGTGTATACGGATTGCAAAAGTTTAAAATATTTCTTTATTCAGAAAGAGCTAAACATGAGGCAGCGCAGATGGCTAGAGCTAATTAAGGATTACGATTTGCAAATTATGTATCATCCTGGAAAAACTAATATAGTGGCTGATGCCCTTAGTCGAAAATCCATGGGAAACTTAGCCTATATACTCATCAGACAAGAAACAATGGTACGTGAGCCGATGCTTGTTAAAGAGATAAAAAAGAAACAGTTGCAAGATGAGTTCCTCAAGAAAATAGTGGACGAATGAGAATCTAAACCTAGACCGGGGTTCAGTTTTGAAGATGGCATACTCAAGTTTCAAGGATGGTTATGTGTCCTAAACGACAGTGATGTAAAGAAACAAACTCTCCAAGAAGCCCACAGTTCCAAATTCTTTATCCATCTAGGAAACACGAAAATGTATCAAGACCTAAAGAAGAATTTTTGGTGGCCGGGATAAAAAGGGAAATTGTGGAGTTCGTATCCAAGTGTTTGCAATGCCAACAAGTTAAGGCGGAACATCAACGACCCGTATGATTGCTTCAGCCATTTCCAATACCGGAATGGAAATGGGAACATATCATAATGGATTTTGTTGTTGGCTTGCCTCGCCCCAGTAGGGGTATGGATTCTATTTGGGTAGTCGCAGATCGATTGACAAAATCTGCTCATTTTCTACCCGTGAAGACGACATATACTGTGGATAAATTGGCTACTCTGTATATGAATGAAATTATGAAATTACATGGAGTCCCTGTATCAATTGTATAAGATAGGGATCCGAAGTTCACTTAGCGGTTTTGGCAAAGTTTACAAAAGGCAATGGGAACTGAGTTGAGATTGAGTAGTGCATACCATCCACAAACAGATGGCTAGTTAGAGAGAACGATTCAGACACTCGAGGATATGCTACGTATGTGTGTATTGGATTTTCAAGGAAATTGGGAAACATACCTGCCTTTGGTTGAATTTGCGTACAACAATAGTTATCACTCGAGTCTTGACATGGCACCATACGAGGCTCTTTATGGCAGGAAATGTCGGTCGCCACTTTGTTGGGCAGAAGTTGGAGATAGACCATTATTAGGACCTGAACTTGTGCAAGAGACCACTGAGAAAGTAAAATTGATCCAGTAACGGTTGAAAACCGCACAAAGCCGACAGAAGAGCTATGCTGATGTGCATAGACGAGCAAAAGAATATGAAGTAGGCAACTATGTTTTTGTTAAAGTTACGCCAATAAAAGGACACACTCGTTTTGGAGTCAAGGGTAAATTAGCACCTCGATACATTGGACCTTATGAAATTATTGAGAAACCGAGTCCAGTGGCGTACCGAATAGCTCTACCTTTGGATATGGAACACATGCATAACACCTTCCATATTTCTACGCTAAACTCAACAAGTTATTGAACCTACTCAGATACCTATGCGTGATGATTATACATATACAGAACGACCTATTTAGGTTATTGGCCGTCAAATCGAAAGGTTGAGGAATAAAGACATCCCGTTGGTAAAAGTGGATTGGCAAAACCACAGTGGCTTGTACACAACATGGGAAAAGGAAGCAGATATGCAATAGAAATACCCTGAACTGTTTCCTTTAGACCCTGTACTCTCCACTGAAGAAGGTACACTAAGTTTGGAGGACCAAACCCCCTAAGGGGCATCAACATTGTAACACCCGCCTTTTCCTTAGCTGTTACTTTTATGATTAATTTGAATTATGCATTTATTTGTGCCTTATATGTTTATTTTTATGCATTGTGTCTATTAACAGATATGTTCCTTTGTGAAAAGACCTGTCTGATTCGTTAAATCGTATGAGTTATAAAATTAGTTAAGGGACTAAGTGAGTGGGGTTGATTCACCTTAAATTAAGATAGCTGGTAGTGTAATTGATTAAATAATTTAACTAAAGCAACTCTCATTTAGTTAATCTAAGTTAAAGAATTGGGATATTATATGTATATATATATTGAACTCAAATGGGAAGGAGAGAAAGATATTACTTGAGAAAGAGAGTGCGAGTGCTAGAACTTGAGAGAAGGCTAGAGAAGAAGAGGAAAGAAGAGGAAGAGAAGAGAACTTGAAACAACTACACTAAATCAAGTCATCAAAGTAAGAATTCTTCCTAGTTATGTGCATGTGACTCCCTAATTCATGGAATTTAAGGAATGAATGAGGAATTGGGTAGAGTAGGTTGTGATATAAACCCTAATGGGAGGAACTCCCTACATCTTAGCATGAATAACATAATTTAAGCTTGATTACTTGGTCTTGCATGCTTTTAACTTAGATTTTCATAATTTTGTTGAAATATAGGATTATTATATGCAAAGGATTTTGTTTTCTTTAACCATGAAGTTGTGTATGAGTTTGGGGGAACTTGAGTTGGAATTTGACGATCCATGACCTTGGAAATTGTTTGAACACCATGTTTGCTAATTTTTGACCTTTAATTTGATTGACTTTGGGATTGATTTGAGGAATTTGGAATCCCAAAAGCAGAGCAAAAATTTGGTTCTGGAACACCCAGAACCGCACGTACTGCTGGGAAGCCCGCACATGCGGGAAACACAGGCGTACATGCGGCGGGTAGGCCCACACGTGTGGAAATCAGGGGAGAGGAAGATGCAATTTTGAAATAAAAGCACCTGGAGGCACATGTGCGGCGCATGTGCGGAGGGAGTTCCGCACGTGCGGTCAAGGGGCTTCGCACGTGCGGCTATTTGACAGCCTCGGTTCCACTTCTCTGTTTCGTTTACCCCACTCCCGGGCCTCCGTTAACGTGTTTTGCAACCGTAATTGCCATCCATTTGTGTTGCATAAGTATTATTGAAATGAAAAGCATTTAGATCAATCAATTCCAAAGCTAGTGGAACTAATAAGTTGATTGTATGACAAATAAGTATTCTATGCTTATGTCTGTCTATGCAGGTCATACGCCACGTTCCAGTCACCTGCACCACGGAACCGACTGTGAGTAACACCGTTGTAAACAAAAGAGTAATTAAATTACCGTTTCTCTACTTCAAGGTTGTGCATTGCTCTGATATGTTTCTTACATTGATGAATGATGATTCTATCTCTGTTCGCGTTGTTCATTGTGGCAACCCTAGCACTCGTTCATATGATTACAAAGCATCTCTGTTTTATAGTGTTGGTTATCATATATGATCTTCAGTCTTCGCGACCGCCTGTTCGGTCTTCACGACTGCTTTAAGAGTGGTTCTTGTATTTGCCAAAAAAAACTCATGAAAGTACCCTATTACTTTTTAAAACATAAATACCATATCAATTTAGATCATTATTACAGGAACACCGAATAAATTCTCCTTAAGTTTATTTTTATGCATTGTGTCTATTAACAGATATGTTCCTTTGTGAAAAGACCTGTCTGATTCGTTAAATCGTATGAGTTATAAAATTAGTTAAGGGACTAAGTGAGTGGGGTTGATTCACCTTAAATTAAGATAGCTGGTAGTGTAATTGATTAAATAATTTACCTAAAGCAACTCTCATTTAGTTAATCTAAGTTAAAGAATTGGGATATTATATGTATATATATATATATTGAACTCAAATGGGAAAGAGAAAAAGATATTACTTGAGAAAGAGAGTGCGAGTGTTGGAACTTGAGAGAAGGCTAGAGAAGAAGAGGAAAGAAGAGGAAGAGAAGAGAACTTGAAACAACTACACTAAATCAAGTCATCAAGGTAAGAATTCTTCCTAGTTATGTGCATGTGACTCCCTAATTCATGGAATTTAAGGAAGGAATGAGGAATTGGGTAGAGTAGGTTGTGATATAAACCCTAATGGGAGGAACTCCCTACATCTTAGCATGAATAACATAATTTAAGCTTGATTACCTGGTCTTGCATGCTTTTAACTTAGATTTTCATAATTTTGTTGAAATATAGGATTATTATATGCAAAGGATTTTGTTTTCTTTAACCATGA